AAAGGTCACACACGTTCAGCAGTGGGAATAAACCAACCCCACCTTCATTCCAAGCCCAGGCAGGGTAGGAACACGTGTCCTGTAGGTGAGCTTCTTTCAGGGGCTGCTCCTGCAGCCAAACGCAGGGAAAACCAGAGTCCCAGGGAATAAAGGCTGAAGTAAACTCAAATGAAAATTTAAAATCATACAAGCTGCCTGTGAAAACCCACGAGAGAAAATGATAAAACCATCCAGAGCCTTTCTGAATCCAAGAGCTTCACCTGTCACCCTGGAAAGGCAATGCTGCCTGGGTGGAGCCACCTGTCAAGGAAAACTCCAGGGAGCACAGCAGGAAAAGCATGCACAAACATCCCTGCCATGCCAAAACAACCACGGGATGTGGCTCTGCCGCTGCCTGAGCACGGAGACACAGAGCTCCTGGAGAACAGGATGGAATCCAACACGATGGAACAACACAGTGTGCAAGACAGGCACCACCCTGCCCTCGAAAAAAGTGTCCCAGGTTGGAGAGACCTGGGATAGGGGATGGTCTGTAAAGCCCTTCCAATCCAAACCCTTCTGGATTCTATGAAATAGCTGGAATTCTGCCCAAGATTTTGCTCTCTTCTCTCCCACTTGTGGCACCAAGGAAAGCCCAAGCCCAGGGGGAGCAACCTAAGACAAAAATCCCGGTTTTCAGCCTTTCTCTGACATCAGCATAAGGAAAAGGAAGGAGAGGTGGTGGTGGTGGGAACACGCAGGGCTGTGGGAATGAGGATATCTCCCACTCTGGCTTTTGATCTCCAGAAAGGCCGAGCCCCGGCTGCGGGGCTATGTTGTGACATAAAGCACTTGGTCAGGACACCGCAGCACCGCGCCCCGAGCCATGGCTTTCCTGGGAGGCCCCGCTCCTGAAGGACAGGTGGGGGGAAAGGCCCCTTCCCAGCCAGGGTGCAGATTTAGGTCAGCAGCTCCTCCACGGGAATTCACTGCAATTCCCATCTCTTTCAGCCAAGGGGAAGAGTTCCAGCTGCTGACCCGAGCCGACTCCCAGGGATGATTAAAGCCATCCCAGCACAAACGACATTCCCAGCGATCCCGGGGTTATCTTCCATCCCCGTTCTGCAGACGAGCATTCCCGACTTCCCTTTTGTTCCTGCTCCGAGCATTCCCTGGAGTTCAGGTCATTAACAGCGAGACACGCCGACCCTGCTCCCGCTCCTCCTGCCCCACTGGAAAACCCGACTGAAAAACGCGACTGGAAGAGCCGAGAGGCTCGGGAGGATGAGATAATGCTCCAGCCGAGCCCTGCAGCGGCTGCTCAGCCCAGCCCCACCGTGACAAGAACACGATCCCAAATGAAGCCGTTCCCAAAGCGCCGAGCGGAGACCGGCAGCGGAGACAATGGCGAGCGACACCCCAAAGCCCCCGGGGGAGCTGGGCACCTCGGCTGCTCCCACACCGCGATTCCAGGACTGAAATCAAGGGATTGACACACACGGACACGCGGACCGAGGGGAGGTGCGGATTCACACGGAGAACAAGCGGAGACTGAGCCTCACCTTTGTTTTCACACGTCCCCAACGCGAGCTGAGGTTTTGGGGGCGCCCACAGCACCCCTCAGCCATGTCTGCCCTTCAAAGAGCCGTGTTCCCCGCCCCTCCCAAAAACCGTATTTCCCCCCAAAAAAGCCATGTTTCTCCCCACAAAAGCTGTTTCCTCCCCAAAGAGCCATGTTCTCCCCCTGAAAGCCGTATCTCACCCCAGAAAACGCCGTTTCCCCCCAGCGCCGGCACTGTCAGCCTGTGCCTTGGCGCTGCCCCCGATGCCAGCGCTGAATTTTGGGGAAACGGGGAAACGAGGCTTTTAGGGGAAAAACGGTGTTTTTTTTGTTTGTTTGTTTTTTGCGGGGGGAGGGGATATGGCTTTTTCGAGGGAAGGATGGAGCTTGGGGAGGAAGCATGGCTTTTAGGGGGAAAACATGGTTATTTGGGGAAAACACAGCTTTTAGGGAGGAAAACAGAGGTCTTAGGAGAGAATCGTGGCTTTTTGAGGGAAACACGAGGTTTTCTGGGGAAACATGGCTTTTAGGGAGAACTCACAGCTTTTCTGGGGAAACACAAGGTCTTTGGGGAAATGTCTTTTTTGGGGGGAAACATGGATTTTAGGGGAAGAAACGTGGCATTCTGGAGAAGAAACATTGCTTTCGGGGGCGACGCTTGGCTTTTTGGGATGGAAATACGCCTTTCAGAGGGGAAACAGATTTTTTAGGGGGCAACACGGCTTTCAGGGGGGCAGGCTTTGCTTTCTTCCCGCCCTGAGGGAGCCCGTGGAGCCACCTTCCCCTCGCACCCCGGAGCTGGGAAGGGGCTTCACCCCACCCAGAAGGGGCTACAATCTCTGTGGGCTCTGCCCTCCGCAGCGACCGCCCCAAAACGCTGTGAGAGGCTAGAACAGGGGCTCCGTCCACCCTCAAATGTGGTCCCCTCCACACCAGGCCTGTCCCGCCCCGAGGGGCCCGTCCCGCCGCCCAGCTCCCCAGGGAAGGGCTCCGCCCGGGGAAGCCGCACCGCGGCGCCACTCTCACCTGCCGCCGGGCCGGGCCGGGCCGGGCCGAGCCGAGCCGAGCCGAGCCGGGCCGGGCCGGGTCCTCAGGGCTGCGGGCGGCGGGTCCGCTGCGTCGCCCCGGTGACGGCTCCGACCGGCGCCGCCATCTTCCCTCCCCGCCCTCCCGCCGCTGCCCCGGCCGCGCCGGCCGCGCACTGCGCAGGCGCGGGACCACCCCAGACCTCACATAATGAGCGGGCGGGAATAGGGCGGCGCTATAGTGGCGCCATGATGGGAAGGTCAAGTATTAGCTTCGCGGTGCAGCGTGGAGGCCGCCATGTTGGTAGAGGCGGGCGGGCGAGGCTGCCATGCTGGTGAGGTCGGCGTTGAGGCGGAGGCTGTTCCCCGTCCTGCTCCCTCTCCTCTCCTTCCCGGTTTCTCATCCACAGCCCCGCGCAGCTGGGGCACGGGCAGCTGCTCTGCCCGTAGAGGTGACCCTCAGCGCCTGCTGCAGCCCTGCCATGTTCCTGCGTATCCCTCAGAGAGCTGGAGCCTCTGAGGGCTCAGTAGGGAGGCGGGATGTGACCGGTTGCTGGAGGGTTGTGGTGCCCCTCTGCCCATGGAGGTGAGGAAAGGAGGGAGTGGAACCCATTCCACGGGGGAACATCCCTGTGCGGGGCTTTTGGCATCAGGTCCCGCTGCCGGGTTGTGTGAGGACATGATTCTCCAGGGAAAAGGTAATCGCGGCTATCCTGTCTGTCTCCCACAGACCCGCATCCCACATAGAGGAGCCTGCTTAGTATGCCGGGCCCGCGCCCTGCTCGAGGGGATGCTCCAGACGGCTTAGAGAGAGCCGGGATTGCCGGGGAGGAGCCATGGGATGTGTCCCAGGTGCTTTGTGCAGGGCTGGGATAACCTGGGGACACACCTGGGGTTTGTCCCTCACCAGGTGAGTACCCTTGGGATGTGACACAGCCATCAGTGCTGCATTCCCAACGGCTCCCGCCGGGTTTTTTGGATGCTCGAGGTACACATGGCTGGGAGGGGGATTTTTTTACAGCAGGATGGAAGGAAACGTCCAAGGGAACGCTGCTGGAACGCTGGAAGGGATCGAGCCAACCATGCCAGACACTGGCTGCTGGAAAACTCGGTTCCTGTTGCCTTTTGAAAAAATCCCAGAGGATGGACAGGAACAACCCCAGGCTGCTGCAACTTCTCCGTGGACAGCATTCCCACCCCGCTGAACTGCCAGAAGAGTTGAAATGCAAGGATTTAACGTCCTAGGAGCACTGCACAACCCCTAAATCCCCTCCAACACTTCCACCTTGGATAAACAGCTCCCCAGAATCCACCTAGGGGGGGTGTCCGGAGGTTCCCTGCCCAAATTTTGGACTTGGCAGAGGAGCGGGACAGGGTCAGGGCAGACCACAGGGATCAGGATTTATTTTAGCTGGAGTTTTATTGTGATGTTTCTGGGAATCCAGTCGCCATCTGCCGGCAAACTCTGGCTCTTGGGTGGGAATTTGGAAGCAATTTTAGGATTTAAGGGCAGGTTCTTTAACTCCCTGTGTGAAAGCGATTTTTTTTTTTTAGGATGCTGAAGGGGCAGTTAATTTTTGAGTCGGCAAAAGGAAATGCAAATCCGACCACAAAAACCTTTGTATGGGCTTGGAGCTCAAAGAACATTGAAGTGGTGAATGTCTTGGATATAAATGAGCAAGGTTTTAAGAAGTTATGGGGTCTTGGAGAATTTCTGATGTTTCTGAAGGCTAGAGCTCCGTAAGAGTAGCTTTGGGCTTAAATGAAGAGGCACAAATTGGAGGATGGAAGGACACACGGACACCTGGATGTCTGTAGGAGGGAGCAGAGGTTGGATTGGTGGCTGAAATAGCCTAAATTTGGGGAGAAATTTGTCCAATAACCCAAAATTAGGGAAAACCGCCCCAAAATTAAGAGAAAACACCCTAAAACTAAGAGAAGAGACCCCAAAATTAAGGAAAAACAGAAGTATAGGAGAACAAACAGAAAAAAGACCCCGAAATTAAGAGAAAGCACCCCAACATCAAGGAAAAACGCCTCAAAATTAAGGCAAAATTCCTGAAAATTGTGGGAGAGCACGCCCAAACTAAGGGAAAACACCTCAAAATTTAAGGGAACAACGCCTCAAAATTAAGAGAAAACACCCTAAAACTAAGAGAAGGGACCCCAAAATTAAGGGAAAACAAACAGAAAAATGCCCAAAAATTAAGAGTAAACGCCCCAACATGAAGGAAAAACACCTCAAAAATTAAGGGAAAACTCTTCAATACTGAAACACCTGCCCTGAGTCCGGTCCTCCCGGCCGCCAGGGGGCGCTGAAGCTCCGTGCCCCCGCCGTCGCTTCCCGCCCTTTCCGCGCGCTGCGCGTGCGTTGCCGGGCGCGGGCCGGCGGGCGGCGCGCGCATGCGCGGGGCGCGGGCCCGGCGGCGGACGGGAATTAAAATGGAAGATGAGGAGGTCGCAGAGAGCTGGGAGGAGGCGGCCGACAGCGGGGTGAGGGCGGCGGCACGGGGCGGCGCGGCGGGCCCGGGGTGCCGGGGGGGGCGCGGGCGGGCGGCGCGGCTCTTCCTGAGGAGGCGGCGGGACGCGTCCGGCGGTGCGGCGACCCCGCTGCGCTGCTAGGCCTCTTAAAGGGACCGCAGCCTCTCTCGGCTCGGGAGGTTGCGGGCCGCCCCCTGCCCCGCTGTTCGCCAGTTCTTCAATTCCCCTTCAGGTCCCTCCTTGGAGCAGCTGCCTGCCTGTCCTCCGACCCCTCGTGTGCTCCTCGGTGTCCAAAACCCCTCGGCCCGGCGGGGCTGCGGCTGGGGCGGCAGCGGGGGCTCAGCGGGGTCGCGGCCCAGCCCCGCACCAAGCTCCGGTTGCCGGGGGGGCGTGAAGTAGGAGGGGGAAGGGCGGCGAGCAAAGCCAAAATATGCGTGCCCAGCGTAGCCGTGACCCTGGCGGGGCTCTGGAGACAGCGCGGGGGCTGCGGGCGCACACCCAAAGGCCTTTCCCCTTGGTCGGAACGTGCTCCTTCACTCGGGCAGAACGGGGGCAGTCCTAGTCTGGCCCCGCGGAGCCGGGCCCCTGTTTTAACAGCGGCTCACGAGCTGGAATTGGCATCGTGTCTGTCATACTGAGAGACCCCGAGGATTTGCGTGTGCTTGCAAATACAGTGACTTTTTTAGCAGGAGTGTGGGCGGGTGCTCTGCGGGGTATTCGCAGGGAGAGGAAACTCCGCCACGCAAACTCTGCTTTTAATCAGTTCCTCGGGGTCGTTGAGGATCAGAGGGCAGAAGGACCTCCGGACAGGATCTCGGCGAGGAGCCTGAACAGGATTGTGGGCAAGGGATTGGGTTACACCTGGCCAGAGCCAGGGGAGCAAAATAGAGCCTGTAACTCAACGCCCGAGAGGGGCCAGTGCCAGGCTGGCAGCGGAGCCAGTTCTGCCAAGGCCGGGGGGCTGTTCCCAGTGGGAGCCTCGTGCCCAGCATTGGAGTTAATTCCAGTGCTCCCGAAACCGCTCCATGAAGGGACACGGCTGGGCCTCGTGAGCCGATGACTGTGGACTTGAGTAATGGTTTAAAATGGTCCCACTGCTCCAATCCTGCCATGGAGCGTCTTCCCAGTTTGTCCTTTCTGCTGGTACCTCTCAGGTGCTTTTCCTTAGAAGGAGAAATCCCTGTCACTTGTCCTTTCTAGCACCCTTTTCCAATCCAAACTGCTGGGAATTCATTTTCATAACCTCACTGCTGCTTGTGTTGCTGAGCAGGGAGGTTCCCTGGGAACCACACAATCCTTGAGGTTGGAAAAACCCTCCAGGACCTCGATTCCAAGCTGTGCCCGATGCCCACCTTGTCCCCAGCCCAGCGAGTGCCACCAGGCCAGTGTCCAGGCCTTCCTTGGACATCTCCAGGGATGGGCACTCCAAACCTCCCTGGGCAGCCCCTGCCAAGGCCTGACCACCCTTTCCATGGGGAAATTCCTCCTGATGTACAACCTGAGCCTCTCCTGGCCTAGCTTGAGGCCGTTCCCTCTCCTCCTGTCCCTGTTCCCTGGGAGCAGAGCCCGACCCTTCCCCGGCTGTCCCCTCCTGTCAGGGAGTTGTGCAGAGCCAGAAAGTCCTTCCTGAGCCTCCTTTTCTCCAGGCTGAACCCCTTTCCCAGCTCCTTCAGCTGCTCCCTGTAGGTCTGGCAGGAGGAGCAGCTGCTGTTGCAGTTGTTGGGCTCTGGATGTCTGTGGGAGCAGTTGGACGGGTGTGAGAAGTGAGCTGCCTGTGCAGGGTGGGGCAGTGGGCAGGAGCTGCCCTGGGCCATCCCTGAGGGTCGGGAAGGGGATTTCTCTTTGTGCCTGTCAGGAAGGAGCCCTGGTGGTGCCTACAAGAAGGACGATACTGAGCAGGATGGAGCGCAGGAGAGCCCAGCCTGTGCTTGCCCTATGATTCTTGTGGTCCTGATGGATGCTGGTGCAGCTGAGGACATTCAGGTGTCGCAAAGTCACAGCTAGAGGAGGCAGCGGGTGGGGAAAGAGCAATGAGGGCAGGAGGAGGCTCTGCTGTAGCACTGACAGTGATTGCAGCTCCTCCTGAGGGACAGCTCTGATCTCTGCTCTGTGAGCAGGGACAGGACTGAGAGAAAGGCTGGAGATCAGGAAAAGCTCTTCCCCAGAAGGTGCTGGGCACTGCCCAAGCTCCCCAGGTAATGGGCATGGCCCGAGGCTGCCAGAGCTCCAGGAGCCTTTGGACAGGGTGGGATGGGGTATCTGTGCAGGGGCAGAACTCTGATCCCTGTGGCTCCCTTCCAGCTGAGGATATTCCATGGTTCTGTGATTTTCTTCCATCCAAGGCAGCACAAGATGGATCCCAGCATAAAGGCACAAGCTTGGCAGTCATGCTTGGTGCTCAGGAGGAGACTGCAACAGAACAGACACACCAAGGAGCAGCTTCAAACACATCCTGTTCTGACAGTGCCAGGACAAGAGGGAATGGGCAGGGTTAGCTGGGATACTGGGAAGGAATTCCTCCCTGTGAGGGGGGTGAGACCCTGGCACAGGGTGCCTTGAGCTGTGACTGCCCCTGGATCCCTGGCAGTATCCAAGGCCAGGCTGGACGGGGCTTGGAGCAGCCTAGAACTGTGGAAGGTGTCCCTGCCCATGGCAGGGGATGGGACTGGGTGGGCTTTAAGGTCCCTTCCAGCCCAAACCATCTGTGATTCTGTGATGCTGATACTTCCCACTGCTGAGAACCTGAGTTTTTTAGACTCTTCAGCACATGAGGGAGCAGTGAAGACATAGCAGGAGATCTGTAGTGGGTTTTATGGGATACATTACCTGTGTCCCAGCATGTAAATTTTTAATACTCCGTCCACAGGGTGTTCCTTGGGAAAGCAAATGCATCAGATTTTTAATTCTGAGGCTTTTCGTTTGTAGTTTTTGGTGAGGCTGAGGACTTCTGCTCAAGGCTTTAAAGAAGGTTTGTCAGCAAGGGGCAGCTCTGGGCTGAGCAGAGATCCTGTGGCTTCCTAATTAGAATTCACTTAATTTCTCTTTTGCAGCTCTCCCAAATCATGCACTAGGAAAACCTCATTAGGTTGAAGAAAACCCCCAAAAATCCAACACAGCTCTTCTGTTTCAGTTCGATCACTCAAGGAGCTGTAAAACAAATACACTTGTGGTTGTTTAGGTGTTTAACGCAGCTTCCATTTGTCTTGGTCTTATGCCATCAGAATTGCCCCAGAAACGGAGCAGCTCCATGGGAATGTGCCACCCCTGGGTGACCATGGCAGGCAGGTGCCCTCTGCTCTGGCAGTGTCCCCTGTCCCAGGGCCACAGGGTGCAGTGGAGCTCGGTGGGGCCTCTGGATCCCTGTCACCTCCCTGGTGTCTAATTAGAGCCCTGTAATGTCCGTGGAATGATGAGGTTTTGCTTGTCCAGGAGTTACAGATGGAAAACCAGGGCGTGCGTAACGTGTGAGTGTCTGAGTTAGGGGTAAGGATGGAAAGGGCTTCAAAGGCCAATCTGGCTCAGAACACACTAATGGGGCTTAATTTCTGGTTTGTTCTTCTGTTGCGTTGTGTGGCCCAGCTGGAAAACACAAATGAGAGGTCAGTTGGTGACACTCAGTTCTGTTTACTGGGTTAAACTAATAATTAACTGTTAGATGGGAAGCTAGGCTCCAAAACTGGAGTGTATCCATGGGTGATCCTCAGCTTGACAGATGGATTCGTTGGTTATTCCTTTGCCAACAAAAATTTGAGTGTGTCAGAGTCTTAAATAATTTCGTTCGGGTCAGAATTTCTTTCAGCTTCATCCCAAGAGGAGAGACAGCTCTGATTTCTGCCCTGTGAGTAGGGACAGGACCCAGGGAATGGCTGGAGCTGTGCCAGGGGAGGTTTGGGTTGGAGATCAGGAAAGGCACCCTCAGAGGGTTCTGGGCACTGCCCAGGCTCCCCAGGGGATGGGCACGGCCCCAAGGTTGCCAGAGCTTCAGGAGCGTTTGGACAGGGTGGGATTGTTGAGGTGTCTGTGGAGGGCCAGGGGCAGGACTCTGATCCCTGTGTGTCCCTTCCAGCTCAGGATGTTCCCTGGTTCTCTGCAGGTCAAACATTGCTCTGGCAATCCAAAACAGGTTAAAAAAATAATAGAATTACCTTGTGTGTCTTTTTCCCCCTGGAGTTTGCAGATTGAGCTCCCAGCTTCTGCTTCCAGCCTCCCCAGTGGCACCCAGTGATCCCAGCTGTGCCTCACCAGTCCCCTCAGGAAGGGAAAAGCTGCCCCTTGTCCCGATCATCGGCTGCTCCAGGAGGATGGGAGCAGCCAAAGGCTGGGAATGGACCTTGTCCTGGCCTGGGGGCAGGGGGTTGTCCCCTGCTTGTGTCACAGCACTCAGGGAGGTCACCTGAGGTGGCAGAATGTCTCCTGTCTGTCACCTAAACGAACCTGTGAGAGTGGAGCGTGTGCCACCTGCCAGCAAAGGCTCCAGGTCACTGGATCTGAAGGTTTCACCTCCTCTCACTTGGAGCTGCTGAATGGGATTGAAGTCCAGCAGAGTCAGAAGGGAAATATTTTGGAGTGTGACACTGTGACCTCCTTCTGCTAATGACTGCTGCGGTCAGAGGCCACAGTAACGAGGCTGAGGTGTGCAGGAGCCGTGTCCATGAGGAAAACTGGTGTCAGGCTATGAGGGTCATGGAATCCCAGAATGGTTTGGGTTGGAGGGACCTTAAAGCTCATCCCATTCCACCTCCTGCCGTGAGCAGGGACACCTTCCGCTGTCCAGGCTGCTCCAAGCCCTGTCCAGCCTGGCCTTGGACACTTCCAGGGATCCAGGGGCAGCCACAGCTTTTCTGGGCACCCTGTGCCTCCCCACCCTCACAGGGAGGAATTCTTTCCCGATATCCCATCTGAGCCTGCCTCTGGCAGTGGGAAGCCATTCCCTGTGTCCAGTCCATCCATCCCTTGTCCCTGGTCCCTCCCCAGCTCTTCTGGAGCCCCTTCAGGCCCTTGAAGGGGCTCTG